TCGTTCCTAAACTTCTCAGTTCCTGTGCTTGCTAGGGTCCAGCTCGGGGAAAATGTGATCAATACTCCTGGTGACATCTTTATTGACCAGATATGGCTACTAAGGACCTGAAAGAAAGGAAAAGTGGGTCCCTGCAAAATTTCTTCTCACCAGTGTTCCCCTGGTAGTGAGGCAATAGATCTAGACTATGAGGAAAAATCAAACTTTTGCTGCAACAATAAACTAAAAAGAAACACACAAAAGGCACTCTGCAAAACTCTTTCTTGCTAACATTATTTCAACACTAGCTTGCCTGCCAATTTTCTAAAATTCTAAAATGTAAATAGATAGAAGAGTAAGTCTGGGTCTCTTTCGCATTAAATGCTTAATCACTTAGCTCATTTTTATAAATTGGTGTGAATTCAGTCTGGACTTCCTTCTTTGTTTCTTAACCATTTGGGGGAGAACAACCTGATGTTTTCTTACGAGATCAGGACCAAAAAAAAAAAAAAAAAAACAGCCCACAAAATACATTTCAGTGGACTTAGAATTTTGAACTTAGATCTCTATCTTATTTCAAAACAATTGTCACAAGGTGAGACTTGATTGCTATGCTTTCTAATTATTTTAAAAGAATCATTTTTATTCTAGTCCACTTACTGGTTTTCTACTTCATTGCCTCATTAACACTTTCTACTTTAGATATGTCTTACTATGTATATTCATTGAAGGCACAATGAATTTACAAGAAATCTGCCTTTAAGAATGTATAATAATATGGAAAGATAGATCCCAAAGTCACCCACCAACATGGACAACTACAAATCCCAGCATTCACAGAGTGTATCTTTCTTCAAGATCTCTCTATTGTTTGGGACAAATCTGACTTTTACTTGAAAGCCACATTTTAAATTGTGTACAATGTATTTTGTTAAGTGAACTAAATTAAATCGCACATTTGCCATTTATATTTCTCATCTGTAACTATTCGCAAGAATATTTAATAAGTGTTTTTTTTAATATTTTTTTTTTTAGTTATCGGCGGACACAACATCTTTGTCTGTATGTGGTGCTGAGGACAGATCGAAGCTGGGAAGCACGTATGCCAGGCGAGCGCGCTACCACTTGAGCCACATCCCCAGCCCCCTAATAATTGTTTTTAAACATTCTAAAACAACTCAGATTTTTTCATGCCCTATAAAGTTCATGTTACCTATTTCACTATCCTGGTTGAAACTTTCATTTCTGAATATTTAGGTAATATGGTTATGCGGAGAATTACTAAAATTAATAGAATAACCTCAAACAGAGCACTGAAAAGAGAAAAATAAATTGTTTTTGCTTCTAAAACCTTCCATACTCTTTAGGATATACAGGCTTAAGTCTTTAATAAAGGCCCGGCCCTTATTAAATAGAAGCTCTTAAAATTATGGATTCTCTCTAGACATAAGAGAGAAAAGGGGAAAGGCAAATTTTAAAATGAAGCTTCCGTGTAAATGATTAATTTCTCATTCATGTCAATCCCGCTTCCTTACAGGCAAAGCCCTCTCGCCCCCTCTGGAAAGCATCATCCAGAGCTATTTCTCACCATGCGATGACTAGCGAAACCTCACAGCAAAACTGAAAAAGACTTTAAAAGGAAAAAAAGCAAAAGGCACATTCTTAAGCACTTCTAATCACTGTACTTCTGCCCCAATGGGAGTCAGTCATTCCACACGCTTCTGGCCTGCAGTCCCTCCCTAAGGCGCTGAAAAAAAAAAAAAAAAAAAACATTTGGAAACCTGACAAGCAAAAATATCAGCCGGAAAATTCATTTCAGAGAAAAACACTGGGAAGAACAACGCGGGAAGGGGGCGGGGGGATAATGGATATCTAAGTAAACCATTTTAAAAGTAGCAACCAAATGCTGAGGGAAGAAAAGAGCATCCCTCCAGGCAAACAGGGGTCCAACACAGCAAATCTGATGAGCAGGATCCCTGGGCAATAGAAGCAACCAGTGAAACTTACAAGGCCTCCAGCACCATCGTACGCAAAGGTTTCCCAAGAAATTCCAGAACCCAGGGAGGGTAAAAACTTTCCCAGCCCTAGGACCCTGAGATGTACAACTGTGTCCCACCACTAGGTGGCTGGCTGCAAAGGCTGCCAGCAGGGGCTTCCCCCCCTTCTTCCCCTTTCAGGACAGCAGTCTGGCCCAGGGGAGAGCCCATCGGCCTCCACCTTGATCCGGTTCACTAAACACATCAAGCTATGGTGGGGAAGAAACAAAACAAAAAGATCTTAGGCCTTAGAACTGAAGTCACCAAGTAACAGTCTCCCCTGAAAGTCTGTTCACAGCAAAGCTGAGCCAAGCGGGGAGGGGGATGGACCAGCATATTTTAAACTCTGCTCAGGGGTTTCAAAGAACTGGCTCCCTTTGGAGCTTTCAAAACAAATCTTCCGGGTGGCTGCTGGCTGCTTTAGAGCGACAAATGACCGCAAAAGTGTGACGAGAACATGGGTTTGAGTCGCTGAAACCCAGCTCACAGCGGGTTGTACATCACCTTCCCGCACAGCATGTACGGAGCCACAAGGTGATGGAATGGGCTGGATAAACACAGATCGTTTTATTGCTGGCCAGAAATTCTTCCTTCATTCATCAAAGTGGGTGAATGAAAATATTAAGAAGTAGGTATGGCATTTTCATGGGCTGCACACTGAGGATCCTTCTAAAGTCAAGATCTTACTTTGTCAGCCTTCCACCTTGGGTATCAAATAAAGCCTCCTCCCAGGAAAGGAAAAAACCACTTCCCCTTTTATAAAAAAGCTGCACTCCAGAGCCCAAATCTTGGCAAAAGAGATGTTACATAAATTCCAGGTATTCCTCAATATGTATGATTATACATACACAACACAATCCTTTTAGGAAGCATCTAAGTTTCTGGGCCACTTTTTTTCTTCTTTTTTCATCTCAAAGAAGAATCAAAATATGTGCTTATAGGTATGACTTAGGATATTATCCACTCCGTTTAGATGACACTTCCTGACAGCGAAACGCAGGAAGTCTAATGATTTGTATCCAAAAGGCATCTAAGCACCAGTACACTTACTTACCTTTCTTAACTGAGCCCAAACCAAACAGTTCAGTTTCATCTGTCTTCTAACCTCAGAAAGAAATAGTAATAACCACCCCTGAACCCTTGAATTATTCTCTGTGTGATTGACATAGCCACCCTTTGGTTATTCTGTGAACTGGCTAATTTCTCAACGTCTTACTTTGCCTTTAAAAGGCTTCCTTCCACACGACGGGATTTCCCTAAGAAACATTCCCAGCGGATGGTTTCCAGCAATAGTCTCTATCAACAGCCTGAACAGGCAAA